AGCGGTGAGTCGAAGCCTGGCTCGGTGATGTCGTCGATTCCAGCCTATCCATGTGATCAGTCGTTTGGCAGCACAGCAGTGAGCTACTTCTTTTTCACGTTTCCATTTATGGAAGGCACTGTATTTGGATGCTTGTGCATCTAGACATGTCTTTATTACAGTCTTCCACATCCCAAGCGATTACGCCAACTCCGTTCGCGGCTACCGCCACAACGAATGGTTCAGTTGATACCGAGGGCACTTCAAAAAATAATGGCAGTGGCTCGAATCGAGATCGTGTGATAGGCAAAAATTTCTTGACTCGACCGATCTGTGTGCAGACATTCTCCACTGCCACCATGCCCAGCCATCTGGTCATCTCGGACAGTTGTGGCGGTGAGTGGTTTTCACATACCGCCAAAGCTCCCCAAATGACGAATTTGTATGTTTTCAGGCGTTTACGTTACGGACTTTGAAGGCAGAATTAAAGAGCACGTATTGGTGAAGAACTCATCGGCAAGTTCAGTGGCCATTGATGAGAAGAACGAAGTGATGTGCGTCCTGACTTTCCTTTTAACAGCTTTTCTTTCTTTTTCCGGTTTTTCGTTCCTTCTCACTCACTTTGTTCTATTCATACCTGCGCAGCCATCCAAAGGTGTTACCTTATCGTTTATTACTCTCCATTTATTTGGTATCTCTCTTCGTACCTTGTTTTCTACCGTTCACTCTTTACTACCTCACTTTCTTCCCTCTGCATACATTTTTCTTTGTTTCGTTCTGTCCCGTGGTCGCTTTCTTTTCATCCGGTTCTCTTTGATCGCCTTGCTTTCTGGAAGGCTTTTATTTATTAGGTTGGAAGGAAAGTCCTGCAACGAAAAATTTGAGGCGTCAGCGATTTGTATCAACAGTGTGAACACGTTAGCAGGGGTGACATACTTGTAGGACATTCCTCAGGTAATCAACACATGAGTAAATAAGGGCACGCGTGTGGGATTTAGCAGTATTACGGTCAATGAATGGACAACACCGATCAACGGTCAACAATCGGTTGGATCGCTTCACTGGAGGAGATACTAGCTTTTGAAGTAACACAAGCATCGTCCCTTAATTTGAAGGAGGTTGGAGGGATCCATTCACTATGGGTTGCTCAACGCGGACTAGATGGACACAGCTATCGGTTACCCCTATGAACTCCGAAATTTGGCCAACGGGGTTCGAGAAGGACGATCAAAACCATAAATCAGGTCCCTTTAGAGGGGCAGCGCAAGTCGAAATTTCGCTTCAAACGCGCGTCAAAAGTTCTACGATTCCAATTGGTTCCAGGTTGTTCATCGGTCGTACTCCCTAAGTGTTGCCCCTTTTACCTACCATGCCCTCTGCCTTCTTGAGCATACCGTTGTGGAAAAACAAATCGTAACTTAATGTGATCTGAAGACGGCAGTCAATTAGTTCTTTGAGTCACAGCTTCCTCACCCCTGGGTAAAAGGCATCAGTGTTTCACCCAAAGGATAATAGAAGGTTGTTGACCTCTTTGATAGATATATTTCCGAAAATTGTTTGGCCTGGAAAATTTCAGAAATGATTTGAAAAAGACCTTCATTGTGTTGCAGGACTTTCTTTCCAACCTAATAGAATTTTATAATTATTGTTGTACATTAATGATCAAATCGATCAATCACAACCACATTACACAAAAAGGCCCACCAAACCAATTATCAATCGAAATCGTAAAAAGGCCTCACCAATTACGAGCGAACACAGCCGAATGCCATCTTCGGGAGAACACCTATGACCAAAATATCTACCCCTGCCTGCATAGCATTTTCTTCTGTGGGAATCTGATCTGAATTATCAGCTCTTATTGTGCAATTTCAGTACTGTATCTGTCGCTTCAACGCCACATTTCAACTACTCAGAAGCCAAAGTTTCTATATTTTTTATAATTTGTAGAACCATTTTCATCGTCACTTGCCTCTTCGAGCTTCCGGATTATAGGTCAATTATTTATTTGTTTATTTATTTACCCATTTATTTTAGTTAATGATGGCCCCTTCCGGTTACTTGTAATAGCAAAAAACTGGTCCTCCTAAGATTTTATAACCTCACTTTTAGTAGAGGTTTTCCTGGTTTAAGTTATCATGCAGGTTCCTCACACTTCAAACCACTTCAACATTTGTGATCTCATCGAATTAATAGCATGACCTTCTTTTGATGAAGATCAGCTTCGGCCCTCGTCTGGGCAGGTTCATCCGGTATTTACCACAATCATATGTGAGTAACTTCATCCCAACTTTCATCAACAGCACTTCGTGCTTCATGAATGGAGGTCTTCATTGAGGTTTGGCGCGGAAATCCCAGGCACTAACTATCGACGTCATGTGTTTCTCCTTAAACCCATGTGGCACATGATAGAATTTTTTACTAGTCCAAGTTGTTCGATATTCTTGCTAATTTTCTCATGGATAGGTTGGAATTCGCAGTAGGTTCCCACATGGGATACATGAATGTCGTCTCTGGCCAATGCCATCAAAAGACAATTATGCATCCCTGTTGGTCCTCCTAACTTGAAGTAAAAAATTGTTAGAGCGAAATGTTGGGAACCAGTTCCCACATGTGATCTGGCAGATGTGAAGGCATATGGCATTTTCACCTTATTTTTGACTTACATTATGTCAAACACCGGCAACGCTAGCTATTCAAACATGGTAGAAGTAGCAGGATGAAAGGTGTCGAAAATGCTCT